TTTTAAAGGTGATAAAGTGGGTTGTGCTACATGGAGTGATAATAAAGGAGTCGAACTCCGAGTTTGACGGGTGCTGTCTTGATAGTAAAAGCTCAAGAGTGAATTAGCTTCTTACATTCTATGCCATGCATAGAATGAGTTGGTATAGACAAAACTCGACTGGAAGGAGGTGACTATCTATTCAGACCTCGCAAACGTCCAAGGAAGATAGACCTATCGTATAAGACGACGTCCTAGAGGACTTTACTGGATGTGAATCTTTCACCAAGATCATCTGCTCCATGCACAAGACTTTGGAGATGGTTGGTGGGGAAGTATGGGGCTGTCGTGTTGATGGCACGCGCCTCAAACGACTAGCGCCACCGGAGCGGAGAAACAAGGTGGGCTGCGACCAACTCCCATCCCACTAGGTGGGCGCGCAATTCACTCCGCAACCGCGTCCCGACCCGTGCTTGCGCCTGATCGCAACGCCCCACCACGCCGGTGGTCGTAGCCTACAGAGAAGACATACAAACGCCCATATCCTTCGGAGCCCATCGCCGAAAGCAAGCGCATCATGGACGACTTCAACAGCGACACGGATAGCGACTACACAAGCTACTGGCGAGATTGGGTGAGTACCCTGGCTTCCTATACTGTCACCATTGGCATCCTCTGAGCGCCCGACATGGCCCTGCGAGGATTGAGTGGAGGGGGCCGGGAGAGGAGGTTCTTGGTTGCATGGTATGGCTCACCGGCCTTTCACTGCGGGTCACGTCTGACCTTGCGCCAGCGGTGGCTGCGCCCAGAAGGGCTACATTTCCACACGCATGTGCCTTCATGCAATCGACTCCGGATATGCACCCATCTTCGGTGCCGAGTGGGGTCCGCTCATGGCCATGCAGTCTCTGTGGTGGTCAGACTGGCACGAGAACGATGCACATGTAGAAGCAGCGAGCGCGCTTTCAGACACATGCTGACCAACGACTAGTTCATATCCTCGCGAGGCAACGAATACTTCTGCGAGATTGACGAAGAATACCTCACCGATCGCTTCAATCTCACGGGTCTGAACACCGAAGTTCAGTACTATCAATATGCACTCGATCTTGTAACCGACGTCTTCGACTTCGACTGTGACGATGATATGCGGGAACAGATTGAGAAGTCGGCGCGGCATCTGTACGGACTGGTACATGCACGATACATTGTCACAACCAGGGGTCTAGCAAAGATGGTACGCAGCCCTGTCCCATGACAGCTTCATATGCTAACATAACTACCACTAGCTCGAGAAGTTCAAGAAATCTGACTTCGGCAAATGCCCCCGCGTCATGTGCGAATCGCAACCCCTCCTTCCCATGGGTCAATCCGACGTCCCCAACGCCTCACCTGTAAAACTCTACTGCGCTCGCTGCGAGGACCTGTACAACCCCAAGTCCTCTCGTCATGCCGTAATTGACGGCGCCTACTTCGGCACCTCGTTCCACAACATCCTCTTCCAAGTCTACCCCGCGATGCTGCCGCCAAAGTCGCAACGGCGGTACGAGCCGCGCGTTTTCGGCTTCAAGGTACACTCTGCAGCAGCGCTGGCGCGATGGCAAGCAGACAAGAAGGACGAGATGAAAGACAGACTCAAGACACTGAAGATGGAGACTGGATTCGAAGAGGAGGATGAGGAGGAAGACGACGATGAGGATGATGATGATATGGAAACGGCAGAAGTCGACGCTGCAGCTGCCCAGCTATGACAAATGGGCCTCTGACGGCCTTTTCACTATTGTACAGAGCGGGAAAAACGACAATAACAGGAAGCAGGGATAGTAAGCATGGAGGGTTATGAATAGTTCGATAGCATCCACAAGGAACTAGCATGGGTTTGGCGATAGGCGTCATGGGTGGCTGGGTTAAAGCAGTATCTGATATACCAAACGACGATTAAGCAACGCAGAGTTTCACTTGCACATGCTTGAATTAGCAAAGTCTCACATGTGCACCGACATCACGAGTAGGCACAGGTAGCGCGATTCATGATTGCACTGTTGGCTTGTATAATGTAAGAGAGTTGGGTATCTATCTCACACCCCATCAGCCCATTCCGTAAATACCCAAGAAACTCAAGCAACGATGTGACAAACCCAGGGGTATAACAAGAATGTAGTGACTGAAGAAGATGCCGAACAAGATAGAATGAAGGAAGAAGTAAACTAGTTCTCATGAATAAAAGTAGTAAAGTAGACAAGAATAAGTTCCCAAGTTGGAACCAAGAACAAGAAACTCGCGAACGAAAACGCCGCGCAATGCGTTAAAAAGGACGAATCCAAAAGTATCAGACCCATTTCGCTTCGTTCCATCCATAATCCAAACATTTCCAATCAAAACATATACACATCCAAGAATGTCATCTCGTAGAATCCATATTACATCGTGAAATCCAAAACCGGGGATAGAAGATTAGAAAAAGAGCCGTAGCTTAGAAGAACTTCTTCATCCAACTTCCCCTCTTGGCAGCAGGCGCACCGCCATTAACGGCTGGTCTGCCATCCCAAGTACGAACGGGCAGCTCTTCATACGCAGGCGCATAGCTCGTCCTGCGCGAGGTCCTCTTTCTCTCCACCTCCTCTTCTGGCACCTTCATGCCTTCATAGTGCGTCGCCCTTCGACTATGTTTGTGTGACCTGTCGCGGTCACGTTCCTTGTCTTCAGCTTTGCGGCGTTCGGCGCGCTCTTTGTCGCGCTTTGGTCCCCTGCGGCCGGCGATACGCAGGCGGACGTCTTCGTCTTGGGAGAAAGTTTCTTCGTCATCGAGCTCCTCACGGGTGCCCGGGGCGGGATCGAGAACTGTTTCGGAGATGGGTGGAGGGAGGGGTGGCTCTTCGGCGAGAGACTCGACCCAAGAGGAGGTCTTATCGCCGCTCTTGTTATTGATGTACGGCATGTTCTCTTCCTCGGGAGCCTGGCGCGAACTGCGATGTTTTGAACGCCTTGCGCCGTTGCGCTCGTCGAAATAGTCAGTGATAGGCTCGCCGCTAGCTTGCACTGGGTAGTCGGAGTTGCGTCTAGCAGCGCGGCGTTCTTCGTGACGACGACGGCGTTCTGCATCCTCGTCCACGTGTGTTGTTCGACGGCGTTCGGTCTTTGGACGGGGCTCTTCGCGGTCTTTTTCTTTGCGGCGCGAAGAACGCTTCTCGCGCTCTCGTTCGTCTCCGCCTCGTGCTTTCTTTCGTTCCTCCTTCTCCGCCATGCGGCGCAGTTGCTCCTCGGCTTCCTGGTTGCGCCGCTCCAACTCGGCCATTTGGCGAGCCTTCTTCTCTGCAAGAGTCGCTTGTTCATTCTCACGCTGACGCTCGCGGCGGCGTTCTGCCTTAGCCTCTGCTTCTTCGAGCTCAGCACGTCGAGATCCTTTCTCTGCATCGCGCTTGGCCCTACGCTCAGCTCGTCTTGCCTCTCGTTCCGCATCATAATCGTCAGGAGTGCCATTCGCGCCGGACATCATGATATCTTCGGGGGGAGGATTGCGCAAGCTGCGGCGCTCGTGTCGCAATCGCTTTGCCTCATCTTCTGTTGCTCCCCCGCGAGTTGTTGATCGTTTGCGATGTCTGCGCTCGTCTTCGGTCTCGTAGGCGGTACGACGGCGCTCGCGGGGTGCCTCTTCAGCCGGCGCAGTCTTCTTGCGACCGAGGCCAAACATTCCCTTGAAGCCTTTTACAGCTGCAGCAGTGCCTGCGACACCAGCAAGCGTGTTGATGGCATCAGAGTTGCCGCGCGCACGGCGAGGTCGCTCCCGCTCTCGTTCGCGGCGGGGCCGTTCAGCTTCAGCTGGGACAGGGTCCAGGTCCATAGGGTCGACAATGATAGGATCGTCAGCGCTAGGCGGCGCAGTCACGGGCTCGAGGGGTTGCGCTGAGTCGCGCTTAGATTTGCGACGCGATGGTTCTGGACGGGTTGCTGGGGGAGGAGACTCATCGTCGAGATCTTGGTCATCGTCTACAGGATATGGGTCTGGAACAGCTGCCATGCGGTTAGCTCCATGTGTTTGCTTACGGCTACGCCGGCCAATTACAGGCGTATCATGCTTAGCGGGGAACGGCTTACCTCGAGAAGACCTGCCCTTGTCTCTGGCGTCCCTTGTACTGGTCCTGCGCGACGAGCTTTTCATACCCATCATCTTGGCGGCCTTTGAAGACACCCTCGCGTCGGTATCTGTTTGTGGCGGCGACATCATGGCAGCGTCCTGCTCAATTGAAGGTCGGCGCGATAACGTCTTGGTGCGATGCGACTTTGAGCGCGAAGGCGGGGGCGGCGCCGCAACACCAAACATGGCACCTAGTCCGGTAGCAGCGCGTGTTGGCTTGGAACGTGATACTGTTGGCTTAGACATGTGCACTTCATTTGAGCCTGATGATCGTGACTTCATATCGTTGTCCCGAGTAGACGAGGTTCGCGCAGACTTTGTGCGTGGCATATCAGGCTTGCCTGCGCCTTCTTCACCACCGGATACTCTCCTAGTCTTGGAAGTTTTGGCTGCACCAAAGAGGCCCCAGCCTCCAGCTGTGGTAGCACTGCGACCCAGCTTAGCGCGCTCCTTTCTTGGAGATTCTGGAGGTGGCGTAGGAAGTTTAACGTCTGCATCTTCGTCATCCATGTCACCCGGATCTGCATCTTCAGCAGGTTCTTCAACGATCAGTTCCGGCTCAGGTGCAGGTTCAGGTTCAGGCTCTGTATGGCGCCTATATGACTTGCTGCTTTTCTTAGATTTCTTGGGCTTCTTCTCAGGCACCACTACAACAGGCTCTGGCTCTGGTTCAGGTTCAGGTTCATCTTCCGGATCTGGTTCAGGCTCTTCCTCTTCCACAATTGGCTCCGGCTCCGGTTCAGCCTCTGGTTCTGGAGGCGGCGGTGGAGGTGGAGGGTCGTCAAATGTCATGCCCCTCGATCTGCTGCTCTTCTTGGTCTTTTTCAGCTTCTGCAACTGCTGGAGAATGGAAACTGGCTCAGGTTCTGGCTCTGGCTCAGGCTCAACGTCAGGCTCGGGTTCTGGTTCTGCAGGCTCCTCTGGTGGCGGCTCCTGCGCATCAGCAAAGTCCATCATATCGTCATCGTCATCAGGGAATGCACCAACTCCAGGCGACCTCTCGGCAGGTACCTCTTCCTCTGGCTCAGGTTCAGGTTCAGGTTCAGCTTCGGGTTCAGGGGGAGGCGGAGGCGGAGCTTCTACTATCCCCTTCTTCCTGAGCTTCTTCAGTCGTTTCTCCTCTTTCAGCTTCTCTTCTTCCAGTTTTTTCTTCTCCTTGGACGAAAGCTTCTTCTTGGGTTTTTCGACCACCACGACCACTTCCGGTTCAGGCTCCGGTTCAGGTTCGGGTTCAGGTTCAGGTTCAGGTTCTTCGACGATTGGCTCCGGCTCCGGTTCCGGTTCGGGCTCGGCGTGTCGATGTTTCTTGGACTTTTTGAGTCTTCGCTCCTCCTTGGGCGTGAGTTTTGGTGGCGGAGGTTCCTCGATGACCTCTGGCTCCGGCTCCGGCTCCTCTGGAGGCTCTTCAGGCTCGTCCATCTCATCCATCTCAGGTTCTGGTTCTAGCTCCGGTTCAGGGTCGGGAATAACGGGTGCCGGTTCAGGCTTCGTCTTGCGGAGAGAGATACCCCATGCGCTACCCCAGCCTGTTTCTGCGGCCTTCTGTTCTTTCCTAGTGGGCTTCTCGAGTTCAGCCAAAAGCTCGCCCGCATCTTCATCCTTGATAAGATCAAACAAGTCGTCATCGTTCGTAGGCTCAGCGGGTGGAGGCGGAGGAGGTGGAGGGAGTTCTTCAACAATCCCCCTCTTCTTTTTCTTCTTCTTCTCTTTCGAGGAAACTGGCGGCTCAGGCTCGAGGACCATGTCCTGTTCAGCAGCAATGCGAGCAAACTCGGCTTCCTCAGCCTCCTTCGCAAGACGCGCTTCCTCCTCTGCGGCTGCGGCTGCAATTGCTTCAGCTTCGGCGGCCTCGGCGGCTTCAGCGGCTTCTCTAGCTTCACGTTCTAGCCGCTCCTTCTCTTCACGCTCCTTCTTTTCCTTGGCCTCTCGCTCACGCTTCTGCTTCGTCGACTCCTTCTTCTTACCCAGACCAAACATGCCCCATCCAGAACTTGCCTTGGCTTCCTCCTCAGCGATACGACGAGCTTCTTCCTCTTCCGCGGCCTTACGTGCTGCCTCAAGTTCTTCAGCCTCAATACGCTGCCGTTCTTCTTCAGCAGCACGCTCAGCTTCTTCTGCCGCGATACGTTCCTCTTCTTCACGCTGAAGGCGTTCCTGTTCTAAGCGTTCCTCTTCTTCGCGCTGAAGACGCTCTTCTTCCTCACGCTCGAGACGCTCCCTCTCTGCTTGTTCAGCAGCTTCCTTCGCCAAACGCTCTTCCTCCTCTTTCTTCTCACGGAGTCTCTTCTCTCTGGTGGATTCTTTCTTCTTTCCTCCGCCCCAGATACTAGCGCCCCAGCCTGCGAGCTTTGACGCTGCTGACTCCTCCTCGCGCTTCCTCTGCTCCTCCTCTAGTCGCTCTTCTTCTGCTATGCGTGCTGCCTCAGCTTCAGCCTCGATACGTGCCTGTTCAGCTGCAGCCGCCTCCTCAGCTTCACGGGCGAGACGCTCCTCTTCCTCTTTCTCAGCAGCCTCCCGTTCTAGACGCTCCTGCTCTTCCCGCTCCTTCTTCTCACGTTTCTCTCGCGCTCTCTTTTCCAAGGAAGTTTCCTTCTTTGGCACTTTGGAGCCGCCCAGAGAGCCCCACATGCTGCTTGACTTTGAGCTTTCTTTTTCTTTCTTACTCTTCTTCTTCTCTTCAATGGGCGGTTCTTCCACAACTGGTTCTTCAGCTGGTGGTGGTTCGTCAAGCGATATGAGATCCTCGAAGGTGTCGGTTGGAGCAGGGGCTTGAGGCTCAAATTTGCTAAGAAGACTGCCCACGGTCTTGCCCTTCTTCTTTGAGGATACCTTGGCAGCAGCACCCCAGATATCTTCGTCCTCAGCTGGCGGAGGAGCTTCAATTTCTTTGGGTGCCGGAAAGTCTCCATCAAACTCTCCCGGGGGCGTGGGCACGTTAGGCGGAACGAGCCCCTTCTTACCCTTCTTTGCTTTCTTCCCGATATTGAAAGCTGCGCTACCCCAAGGGTCGTCCTCATCTGGTTTTTGAACAGGTGTCATGGTGTCCTCAATGACTTCTACTGGCGCGTCCTTCTTTGGGTCCTTCTTCTTTTTCTTGCTCCAAGATGGTGCGCCCCAGTCGTCAGATTCGTCTTCTTTGGGCTCTTCGACATCTTCGGGTTGATGAACGGAAGCGAGTTCTTCGATGACAGGCTCTGGTGAAGCTGCAGGAAACGCGTCTAACTCGACCGACTGGTTCCTTTTCTTTTTCTTCGATCCGCCCCAGATTGAACTCAGACCCCAGTCGGACCCCTTCTCTTCTTCTGGTGGTGGGGAAGGCTCCGGTTCTGGCGGTGGTGGCGGCTCCTCGACGACCGGTTCAATGACTCCCTTCTTGCTCTTCTTTCCCTTCTTCGTGATAGGGGCTGCTGAGCCCCAATCGTCCCAAGGGTCGGCGGGCTTCTCCTCAGGAGCAGGCTCAGGCTCGACTTCGGGCTCAGGCGGAGGTGGTGGAGGAGGCGGAGCTTCTTCTTCTGCACCTTTCTTGCTCTTTTTCTTCTTCTTGGACGTCGTCGGAGCAGCACCACCCCAATCGCCCCAGAGGTCGTCTTTCTTGCTCTTCTCGGCTTCGGCGGCGGCAGCGGCAGCTTCCTCCTCTTCCATCCTCTTCAACTCCGCTTCCTCCTCTTCTAAGCGTAGCCGTTCTGCCTCTTCTTCTTCCTGTCGTCTGATCTCAGCAGCCTCTTCCTCCTCTTTTTGGCGCTTCGCATCTTCCTCTTCCTTCAACTTCGCCTCTTTGTCCAATTTGGCCTTGAGTTTCTTCGCTTGTGACTTACTAAGCCCTGCATAAGGATCTACCTCTACCTTTGGGGGCTCAGGTTCCGGCTCAGGTTCGGGTACGGGCTCAGGCTCCGGTTCCGGTTCTGGTTCGGGAGGCGGTTCTTCCTTGGCTCCTTTCTTACCTTTCTTCTTCTTGGTACCAGCAGCAGCCGCTCCCCATCCACCACCCCATGAATCCTCTTCTTTGACAGGTGACGGTTCATCGACGACAGGTTCCGGTTCTGGCTCAGGTGGTGGAGCCTCTTCCTCAACCCCTCCCTTCTTCTTTTTCTTCTTGTCCTTTGCGGTGCCACCAAAGCTGAATGCTCCCCATGAGTCGTCCTCCTCTTTCTTCTCAGGCTCTGGCGGTGGAGGAGGAACTTCCGGTACACTGTCGTCAATCAAGGCCCCTTTCTTGCTCTTCTTCTTGACCTTGGTCGTGGCGCCTAAGCCACCCCATCCGCCATCTTCAGCAGGCTTCTCCTCAGCTGGGGGGCTCTTGAACGCATCGAAGTCGAAGTCGAAACCATCATCCTTCTTCTTCTTATCTGAAGAACCCCAAGGATTGTCGCTTTCAGCACTAGCCTCTTTGTTCGATGAGCCCCAACCAGAAGTCCAACTGCTAAGTCCAGGAAGCCCAAATCCAGATTTCTTTTCGCCTGTATCACTGAAATTCATGTCAATCTTTGGAGCGCTTCCTTCGTCAAGAATAATGTCGTCGAATGTTGTCGGCGGTTCCGCTGGAGGGTCAGGAGGAGGCGGGGGTGCGGGCTCGGCCTGTCGTAAGTTAGCGTGCTGCTATGTGTAACTAAAAAGCCGAAATGACCAACCTTCCCCTTTTTGCCCTTCTTCTTCTTGCCGGGAGCGGCCGCGCCAAAAGATGCCCAGTCATCTGTGTTTGAAGCTGGCTCCTTTCCCCAGCTTAAACCTGAGGTGGCACTTAATATCGACGGTTTCGCTGCAGCTGCAGCGGCTGCTTCTTCCTCTTCCTTCTTCTTGCGCTCGGCTTCTTCTTCAGCCTCCTTCGCAAGACGCTCTTCCTCCTCCTTTTGTAAGCGTTCCTCTTCTTCCCTCGCAAGACGCTCTTCCTCCTCTTTCTTCGCACGCTCCTCCTCTTCCTTCTTCAAGCGCTCTTCTTCCTCCTTCTCCTTTTTGGTCTTTTTCTTCCCCTTATCCCCGTCGCCACCGTCGCCTCCAGCCCCGCTATCGGCAGGCGGGTCACCCCCACCATTATTGCCACCACCAGCTTCCTCTCCTTTGCTGTCGTCCGCTGGTGGAGGTGCTGCCGCCGGTTTCTTAGCTGTTGCTTTCTTGGCTTTCTTCGCGTGCGATCTGATGCCGGTATCACTATAGCCAAAGTCGATGTCCACATATGGAGATTTCACATCGAGGAGGAATGAAGACTTTGGAGATGAAGTGTTGTGTTTGCGCAAATGATTGACACTAGAGCATAATGAGGCGCGGAAAGAAGGAAACGGTGAAGAATCAGGCGTTTTCGCAAATGCTAGCGCATTGGTGGAAGTGTAGTCTGGGGGCATATCTGCAACCGATTCATCGTATGAGGGTGGTGGGGATCCATAGTTTCGCAGTGATGGACTCCATGATTCCATGGAGGACTCAGAGGTCGATAGATGGAAGCGCGACAACTGGGTGTCAAGACTATGCCGCTGAGTAGTTGTTAGAATGTGAGCCAAGAATCAAGAAACACGAAAAGCGGTCAACAGCGCAGTGCGGAGTGTGGAGTGATCGTGAACCAAACGTGGGCAAAGGGACCAAACAAAGCAGTGTCGTCATACCAGAATAAAACCTCCACTCGGACTCTTGTCTCCAGTGCTGGTGCATTCCAGCCGATCCAGCGCCTGGTACATGTCCGCCATCAACTCAGCAATGGGCCAGTCATTCTCAGACTCCCAAGCTGTTGTGTTCCCAGAGGCGTAGCTTGCTGGCCAAGTATGCTCAACTTGCATATAATCAGTTTTTGTGTCCCAATCTCTTTCATCCGATCCAGTCCTCGAAAGCAGCGGGATCCTTGGTCTCGCAGATGGCGCGACGGCGGCGACGTGACGAGAGCTGGCGAGAGACATTGTGCGAGTGAGAGACGCGCAAATAGAAGGAGCAGGGCGGAGGTAGGCACATGAGCGCTCGTGCGAAACCGCGAGCGTGGAGCGGCGAGGATGCAAATGCGCAGGCGGTAGGTGTCTTCGTATACGATACGGAGGCGGGATGGTGCAGCGTGACTTCCCTCGCGGTCTGCTGCTGCAGGGTCTCGATGCGTCCAGCTGTAGTAGTACACGAGGGCAAAAAGTATGGCCCTCAACAAGCGAAGATGGTGATGCAATCCGTCGCAGATTACAGCAAGCAAATATTAAAACTCCAAGACGAGGCGATCGGCAAACGTCGAATTAAAGAGTCGCGGTCGCAGCAGGTACAGGAGGATGCAGGAGACTGCAGACGCGCAGATTCAGATCCAGTGAGCGTCAGAGGCGAAAGCAGGGGAACGGGCTTCGCGAGTGGTCACAAGGACTGTGTGGTGTGTATGGATGTCTTTCCGCAACGCCAATCGTTATCGGGGTCGAATAGGCTTTGCTCGTTGCGCACACCAAGCCTGTTGGAGCTTGCGGTTCGTTTCATCCACCTTCGTCACACACATGCGCCCGGGCCAGCCGTAGGCGAGATTTCCAAAAATGAGGGGTGGCTCGTCGAGGGGCAGGTATTCAGCCGGAGCGGGCTGGGGGGAGGGTGGTTGTGGGAGGTTTGTCCCAGATATCGTGAGATGTCGAGATGGGATCAAATGCAGGGAAACTGCGACGATGCGCGATGCGGGCGGAAGGTCTGAGTTATTCCGCTGGGAGTAAAAATTTACGGTTAGGGCCGGGGCGCATTGCATGAGCGTGTATTGTGGATGATTCAATGTTGTGCTTCAGTTTGGAGGCGCCGGGTGCAGCAAGCAGCATGGCTCTTTCGGAACCCATCCTTCTCTGTCTAGCACGCCCCCAGCCACGCCGTAGTGGGCCAATTGCGGAGTGTCTAGTGGGTATCCGTGCTGTTGGCATCTTGTGTTGCATATGGTTACCATGGCCGTCTCTACACCGCCAGTCCTCATGTTGCCGCACATGTGCGCACTCTACCCAATGGTAGCGCGCCGCCGGCACACATCGCAGAGCGCGGCAAACCTGCACGCGTACCACGCGTGCATTAGAGCTGCCGCTCTCGCTCGCTGTCGACGTGACGGTACATGTACAACGCAGAGCGGGCTGTATTTTGCATGCATTTAATGTCAAAGAGGGCCAGACACGGCTGTGTTTGGTGGGGCTGTCACCCCAAAGTTGGAGGCAATCCTCCCATGGATCTAGGTTCGTGACGGTCTCGGGAGGGGTAAATCTCGCGCCCGACTCCACCCTAGAATTCCATCGTCTTCTGATAGCTTTCCAGAGACATGACTTGACAAACGGTCAGGCCCAATGTGTTGGGTGCGCAGATCTGTAGATTGGGTTTGCAGATCGTAGATTGGTTCTGGCAGCCCTACGTACGTGGAAGATGGGCTTGTTAGATTCTAGAGCTAAGAAGTACCTGCGCTGCCATGTGGAAAAAAACGTGTCCACATACACCGGAGTCCTATGACCCCGCCACCGCCGCTTCCCGGGTATCAATACACATAAGAGAAATTATCTATAATCCGATAGTCATGACCTCCTAAACAAAATACAGCACATCTGCCAAAGCAAAAGAAATGGTGGGATCGAAAGAAAGTAGGGAATGACCCGAAATTACACATGATATCGAGTAAGCTCGTGAAAGTGGAGACGAGACGCTAAACCGCTGCAGTCGAGTTAGACATTACCGTAAGTCGGGAGAAAGGAAAATCAAGAGAACGATTGCGGCGCATTAAAAGGACTGGTCGTCTTCAATGTCCTCGCCATTAAGTATTTTGCGGGCTTCATCAAGTCTTCGTCGCCATGCCTTGCGTTCGTATGCATCTCCATATGTGTGTTGCAGATTGGAGCAGACATTCTGGATGCTCGAGGCAAGCCCGTAGATGAGTTGTGTCTCTTCTTCGCTCAGTGCTACCCGTGGTTCGTCCCTGCTGCCTTCTGTGAGAATAGAGAATATCCTCGAGGTTTGAAGTCCGCTGGCAAGCTCTCCAGGTGAAGATGAGCCACGTGATAGTGATGATTGTGTTGGAGATGCGCCGTTGCCGCGTCGCATATTGATCGCCGAGTCGGAGCGTAGTGAGAGGAGGCCGTTCTGGGTGCCAGGGCGAGAGGGCACCCGATTTTGGCTTGACATTATCTGCTGGGAGAATTGATCCATATGCTCATTCTTATCGTCGTCGTCATCGTCGTCTTGTTCTTCTGCTGCAGTAGCAAACGTGGCGACAGTCGAGACCGAGTCGACGCTGGGGTTCCGTTGGTGGATAGAGACTCTCTTCTCAGCAATGCTCAGATCGTCAGTGGTCTGGACAGCTGTCACGGGTCGGGTCGTTTCGGTAGAAGTACCAGAACTGGTACTCGATCGGCGATCTTCTAGGCTGTAGGTTCCCATCGCACTGTGCAGGAAGAATGTCTCGTAATCGAATGCATCTATACGATCTTCGTGTCGTTCTGTTACAGGCATCTCATAAACAGCGTCCTCGTACACACTATCAGGGCCAGGTTCTTCATCATCTCCATTGACCGAGACGAAGTCAGACTCAGTCTCATCAGCATCGTCGTCGTCTTCAAATGCTGTTGATGCACCCGACTCCTCCTCAGCCTGGTCGTAGGGCTGAACGGAGTACGCGTTGGCCCCTTGACCTTGTTTGCTGAAGTGAGTAACGAGTTTCTCGCCGTGTTTCTGAGAGGTGGTGGTAGTGGCTGTCAACGGACGTTCTTGTTCTTCGTAGGGATCTGTCGTGATACCCAAGCCAGCGTTTGTTGTGTTCCCTGGATGCCATGTCTCGGAAGACGTGAAGGGGCTCGGTGCGCGTAGGCTTTGCATGCTTCGGCGTCGAAGATGGTCTTCTTGTGCCTTCAGCTTCAGACTGGAAATTCTACCCTTGAGGTCGTTCATCTGGTCACGAAGACCACTAGCTGCAGAAGTGGACCGATGTACCCTCGCGCCGTCTTCATCCTCTGGCAAAGTTTCCAGCGCAGTCGGGGATCTTGAACTTCTTGAGGCGGACCTTGCAGCATGCTCGCGGTCACTACTGCTCCATGTTGTACGAGGATTGCGAAGGTGCTCAACGCTTCGGGACTCCTTGATAGGAAAGCGTCCCTGACCGTAGCCTTCGGGCGACCATGGGCCGCTAGTGTGGCCAAACGCACTGGAAGATCGCTTGTTGGATGTAGTTCGGGTCAGGTACGAGTATGAGGGCGTGAATGGCAGTGGCACCGACGTCTCGCTCATACCCCGTGTGTGGCCGGGGCTACTGCCGTGAGGAGTGAGGAGAGACTGGCGATATGAATGGATGCGCGGAGGTATTGGTCCCATGCCCGCATACAATCGTCGGTCACGGTCGCGACTTGCCGCTATGTGTGAGGTCAAGTCGGAAGATTGGTTTCTCGAATTGAAGGTGGGCGAGACAACGAGTGATTCTCGTGCGCCGCGGAGGTTACCCTCCATTACCTGTCTCTGTTAGCGAACATCTAGTCTATCGTGGTGTGAAGAAGCGCATACATTCAGCCGCTTCTTCGCATTGGCCAAGATGATCTCTGCCCTCCTGCTGAGCGCGGCAGATGAGTACGGGTCGTCATCGTCGTCGCTGCCACTAGTACGGTCCTCGTGCCATCGCTCGTTGCCCATGCCGTCGCCAGCGTCGCTGTCCTGCATGGAGTGGTTGCGCTTTTCTTGCTCTTCAAGATCTACTCCGCTGTCCTCGAAGCTGTCGTGGCTATCGAACCCGGGCCACTGCTCAAAGTCTTCGCTGAAGATGGAACTTGAAGTAGGACTGATCTTGTGGTGGTCTTGCCCGTGCCAGTTGCCAGGTGAGTGGCTGTTCAGTGCATTCTGGATGGTGGGAGACGAAGCAAAAGCATCGTCACGGGCAAGCACATTCTTAGGAGTGGCCTCTGAGTCGGGCATGTTGCGCAGCGTGGAGCGCGAGGACTGTGCTGATAGGGACGGGGATTTTGTTTGTTGTGAAGCGCGGCGCCGGCCCTGGGGTGCGGAACTTAATCTGACTCGACTTGAGTTTGCCTGCTTGTAGAGGTCGGACGGCGACGGGGGACGCTCTGGAGAGGGAGTAGGCAAAGCCTCCTCGTGCTCAAAGTCGGTCGCAAAAGATGGTAGGATCATGCCCGCATCGCTGAGGGTTGGCGAGCGCTGTCCATGGGGCGCAGGACGGGAAGCTGCAGCGACAGCCATGGTTACCTGCAGTTGTCCAGTTGGGTCGGCTACCTTAGCTTGGCTGCAGTACTGAGCATGTTCGGGGCCTGAGGTTTGGCGACGCGATCACACTGTGTGATAGTGATACGACTGAGTCGGGAGCGGTGTCAAGGCAAGTAAATCAGGACTCGAGAAGTGAAAGACCGCGGGCGCGTGTCTCTGATTTTCATAATTTCAGCGTGATTAGGGCTTTAGACAGACGGCAGCATGGACCAGCCGGCAACTGGAGGCGTCTTTAGGGGCACAGGCTAAGGGCCGATTGTTGGTGATCCCCGGCAAATTGGCAGCGCGGCCACGGGGGCGCTGCAAGCTGATTTGCTGACTCTCATATCCGGCGTCGGCCTAAGTCGTCTACTGCAAGGGACGCCGGCTCTATATGCGCTATAACGGCGATCCCTGGTTCCTCATCGTACGGGTACCTGTCGCCTCACATACGATCACACGTTGGCATCGCGTTTCGGGGAATTGCATCTTGCCGAAAGAAACACTGTAGAACGATTCACGGACACGACAATGCACACGCAAAAGAATTCTTCTTTCGATCCATCGTTGCCTGGACCAGACATTATGCCCACACGCGTGCGTTGACCAGAGGCTTGTCCGCTTCAAGTAAGCATAGCTTGGACTTTATGGCGACACGGGAGCCTGAGCTAGGAGCACACACGGGGGCACATATCCGATTGCTATGCTATGCTGTCTCTTACTAATCACCAGGGGAATC